GAGAGAGAGAGAGAGAGAGAGAGAGAGAGAGAGAGAGAGAGAGAGAGAGAGAGGGAGAGGAGGGAGAAACAGACAGAGAGAGACGGAGAGGAGGGAGAAACAGAGACAGAGAGAGAAAGAAAGGGGAGGGAGAGATAAAGAGAGACAGACAGAAACAGACAGGAGAGAGAAGAAGAGGGAGAGAGAGAAGAGGGAGAGAGAGACAGAAACAGACAGGAGAGAGAGAGAGATGAGACAGAGAGGAGGCAGAGAGAGACAGAAGAGGTAGAGAGAGACAGAAACAGACAGAAGAGAGAGAGAATGAAAGAGTGAGAAAAGAGGGAGAGAGAGACAGAAACAGACAGGAAAGAGAAAGACAGAGAGAGAGAGACAGGAGAAAGACAGAGGGAGAGAAGAGAGGAGGAGGAGAGACAGAAACAGACAGAGAAAGAGAGAAAAGAGGTAGAGAGAGACAGAAACAGACAGGAGAGAAAGAGAGACAGAGAGAGACAGGAGAAAGACAGAGAGAGAGAAGGAGACGAGGCAGAGAGACAGAAACAGACAGGAGAAAGAGACGAGAGGGAGAGAGAGAGAAGAGGTAGAGAGAGAGAGACAGGAGCAGACAGGAGAGAAAGACAGAGACAGAGAGACAGGAGAGAGAAAAAGAGGGAGAGAGAGAAAGAAAGAGACGAGAGAAAAGAGAAAGAGAGTGACTGTACTGTATTTACAGGGAACCAATGAAGGGCTTCGAGAGAAGATGGCTGCCTGGGGACTTCTGGGAGTTGAAGTCCACCCGTTTAAAAAAATCGCTGAGCTGGAGAGAAACCCTAAGCTTGAAACTCCCATCCTGCAGCACAGGAGGAGGATTGGGAGCGGAGGGGAGTAGGAAAACCCTGCCTGTGATTGATCTCCCACTCCACAATTTATTTGCTTCCCCTTCAGGTACTTCGGCAGAAATTTATTCTCGCCGTGTTGTGACTCCGGAAACTTCAACAGCCATCCACGGGCATTTTGTGACATTTCTCTCAAGTACCAGCCAGCTTGATCCCGGGAGTTAATGGAAACGGATCTATTTACACAACGCTCGGAGAATTTCTAGAGGGGCTTCTTTGCAAAAAAAAAACAACCAAAACCCCTTCAGGCAACCGGGGCCATTTAAGTGAGATTTATAGCTTTTTCTTGCTCCCGTCAGGACGATGGAAAACCTGCCCAGCCGTGCAGACTCAGCACAAGAGAACACAACCCGCAACAACAACAGCCGGAGGGCTTTTGGGTTATCGCTTGTCAAGCTTTGGCACAGCCGAAGTGCAGGGAAAAAATAAGTCACATACACCGCAGATTTTGCAAAGAACAAACAAAAAAACACCACCCGATTTGCGTGCCTCAAATTTATGGCGCAAGATAAAAGATGCGACGAAATAAATAAACCGTGAAGCGGTCCATTAACGGGTTGGCGTTCTGTTCCGGGAAAAGATAAAAAATAAAAAAGGCAAATGACGAGGTAGAATCAGCCTCAAATCACAGTGTCTGTCTGCCTGTCTCTCTCCGTCTTTCACCTTGCAAAATACCCACGTAATGTATAGATTTTTTTGCAATGCTAGGAGTTTTCAATGTCCCCGACAACCGGCAAGTCCTCGACTTACGGCCACCATTGGGAGCCAAAACTTGTCTTGCTAAGCGAGACAGTTGTAAAGTGAATTTTTGTCTCGTTATATGGGAGGAGGTGACCCCCTTGGAGAGCTGGGGGCAACTCAATTTCATGTTAATGTATGCTGATCAGTGAGCATTCAAAGTGACAATGAAATTGTTATTCTATTCCATTCCCAATTCCCTTCTAATTCTATTCTCCTAATAATTCTCTTCTATTCAAATTCTCCTCTAATAATTCTCCAATTATCCTCTCCTCTATTCCATTCTTCCATTCCATTCCTAATTCTCTTCTCTTCTAATTCTATTCCAATAATTCTATTCTAATTCCATTCTATTCTATTATTCTATGCCCTTCCAATTCTCTCTATTCCATTCTTCCATTTCATCCCATTCCTAATTATATTCCAATAATTCTATTCTCTTCCATTCCAATTCCCTTTTATTCTAATAATTCTATTCTACTTACTCAAATTCAATTCAAACTCTCCAATTCTCCTCTATTCCATTCTTCCATTTCATCCCATTCCTAATTCTATTCNAATTCTATATTCTATTCTAATCTAATCTAATTCTATATTATATTCTAATTCTGAATTCTATTCTATGTTCTATTCGAATTCTATATTCTATTCTAATCTAATCTAATTCTATATTCTATTCTAAT